ATAAACCTGAAAATTAGTATAACAGGAGATCTTTAAAGCATTCATAGATCTTGTTTGAATTGTACCTTTTGAAGATAAAAGGTCCGGCACTATGCCATTAGAGTAAATGCTCTCAGCATGATAAAACCTGCGTGGTATGGGTTTGGGTTTTACTCACTTAATTTAATTCCTCATAGTTGAGTAAAGTGCTGATCCCAACTTTTATCCCCTTTACTGTAAATTGCACACCAGTCATCTCAGATATAGTATTTAAAGCTGCCTCTGAACATTACATCATACAATATATAACACAGAATTCTGCATACATGATAATTACTTAGAGAAATTGAAGAAAACAAAGAATTATCCTCCGCGAATCGCCACCTTAACGTGGTGGAGGAGTTTGAGTGGCTCAGTGATCCTGGGAGCTATGTTGTCCGGGGCATTAGCCCCTGGTAGGGTCTCCCAAGGCAAACAGGTCTCGGGGGAGAGCCCAGACTAAGAGCGGTTCAAACGACCCTAATGATAAGCAGCCCACGGACTTTAGCCACCTCGCCCGGACCAGGGAAACCGGGGCACCCTCCCGGAGCCAGACCCAGGAGGGGAGCTCGTCGGCGAGCGTCTGGTGGCCGGGCCTTCGCCCATCGGGCTCAGCCAGAATAAACAGCATGGAGCAGCCACCCTATGGACCCACCACCCGCAGGGACAAGCATCGGGGTCGGGTGCAATGCAGACCGGGGGTTCTTGTGGGGGGTGCTGCGGGAGTATGGGGTGCCGGACCCATTACAACGGGCGATCCGGTCTCTGTACGACTGCAGTAGGAGCTGTGTCCGAATTATCGGCAATAAGTCAGACACGTTCCCGGTGGGTGTTGGCCTCCGCCAGGGCTGCCCTTTGTCTCCGGTCCTGTTCATGACGTTCATGGACAGGATATCTAGGCGCAGCCTGGGGGCGGAGAACGTCAGGTTCGGGGGTCTCGGGATCACCTCTCTGCTGTTTGCATATGATGTGGTCCTGTTAGCCTCCTCGGATCGTGACCTCCAGCATTCACTGGGGCGGTTTGCAGCCGAGTGTGAAGCGGCGGGGATGAGAGTTAGCACCTCCAAATCTGAGGCCATGGTTCTCTGCCGGAAACCGGTGGATTGCTCCCTCCAGGTGGGGACGGAGTGCCTACCTCAAGCGAAGGAGTTCAAGTATCTCGGGGTCTTGTTCACGAGTGAGGGTAAGATGGAGCGGGAGATCGACAGGCGGATCGGTGCGGCTGCAGCAGTAAAGCAGGCGCTGCACCGGACCGTCTTGGTGAAGAGGGAGCTGAGCCGGAAGGCAAAGCTCTCAATTTACCACTCGGTCTACGTTCCTACCCTCACCTATGGTCACGAACTCTGGGTCGTGACCGAAAGGACAAGGTCGCGGTTACAAGCGGCCGAAATGGGCTTCCTCCGTAGGGTGGCCGGGCTCAGCCTTAGAGATAGGGTAAGGAGCTCGGTCATCAGGAGGGAGCTTGGAGTCGAGCCGCTACTCCTTCACGTCGAAAGGAGTCAGCTGAGGTGGTTCGGGCATCTAATTAGGATGCCTCCTGGACGCCTCCCACTGGAGGTTTTCCAGGCACGTCCAACTGGGAAGACACCCCGGGGAAGACCCAGAACACGCTGGAGGGATTACATCTCCCAGCTGGCCTGGGAACGCCTCGGGTTCCCCCAGAATGAGCTGGAACATGATGCCGGTGAGAGGGAAGTCTGGGTCAGCCTGCTTGGCCTGCTGCCACCGCGACCCGACCCCGGATAAGCGGAGGAAAATGGATGGATGGATGGAAAGAATTATAGGTCAAATCAATACTCTGTGAATATTTTTGTCTCCACTACTTTTGCTATTAAATATGTAAATTAAAATAAAAAGGCTCTTGCAGATGTAATTCACTGCATGATGCAGATGCATTGTGAGCTGAGCTGAGCAAGCATGCTGGAGTAGTTGCACACTACAATGTGCCTTTACCCAGGGGCACACAGCTCTCCATGGGATATTGTTTCCCCTGTGTGCAGCTCTCAGTAAGCATCACCCAGTGCTACCCTACCAGTCAGCATATATGCCAGTATTAATCAAGTATGTTTCTAGAAGTGAGATACACACAACAATGATATTTCTCGCATTAGTTATAATACTGTAAGTAATAGTTTGGACTTCTGTTCCAAAAATGGACAAATCAATCAATTGAATTCTCATCCTAAGATGCAAAGCTAAATAAATAACAGAAAACAGGGAAGTCATGATTTTTCTAAACCTAATTGTTTGTGAATAATGGCTTCCCTCCCCACCGAAAGGTTCAACTGTAGCTGTGTTGTGAGTAATGGAAACATACTGCAAATTGGCTTAATGCAACAGTGATTCAATAAAATACAGCAGACAAAGCACTCTGGTCTGGGGAGATCTGTGTTTCTGGGTCCAGGAGGAAAAACACTCCAAAATGATCTCGCAAAAAATGCTGTCCATACTGACTTTTAAAGTTTACCAGTGCAGTGCCAAACAAGAGAACAGAAACCGCAACAACTTTTTGCCTCAAACTCCTAAATGTAGGCCAATAAAACTGAAGGAGAGAAAAAAAGAACTCTTCAAGTGTTTTTCACACACACCTGCAGCTATACACAAGCTTCCAGGGAGTAGAGTAGAAGGCAGCAAAATATCACGCCACCCAAGGTGCATAAGTATTGAACAATGGTGCCTTTTTCATAATACATGATGATACGGCCTGCCAGGTAGATTAAAACCCACAATAAGGCATCACATTATGGGTGGTAACTGGTAAAATACACAAGAAATCTTTATATTCATGTGTGATCTCTGGATTTGATCATGTTTGTGCATGTGCATTCATCCCATGTGTTCTCTCAGTCTATATTAGCCAGATGAGTGAGGACCTCAAGCTCAAATACTAGGACAGATGTTTCAAGACTGTAAGTGAGGTTTTGCATTATGCATACATTTTTTTTTCACCACCTGGCTGATGGCTATAGCCTTCACGGATTGGTCATACTATTATTTTTTTGGTTTACATGGACCCATTCATGAAAATCAGTGCACATCAGTGAAGTATACCAGCTTTCCCCCTGTTCCCAGAGGATACAGAGAGGGTTATGTGTACTGCAAGCAGCACCATGGACAGCGTCCCATTCAAAGTCACCTCATGTTGACTTTTATGGAAAGTTGTGGGGAAAATTACATGTGGGAGCGCCAAGATTAATAAAAAAACATCCAAAACATCCATATATGTCCAAAATATGAAGCTCATTTTGTGAATAACTGGAGTTATTAAATGTGCCTCATGTTAGAAAAAAGGTAGGCTATACTTTTAATGTATTCAAAGGTAGTGTACTAAAGTTTTGATGTAAACACTTAAGCTGAAATCAGTTCTCAAGAAATGCTGAAATATATTGGAATTTTACCGTACATATATTCAGTTGTACATATAAAACCATTTAGCTATTACTAATATAAGCCGCTTTGACCAGTCAAGAAACAACAGCCCCAAAGTGTGGCTGTATATGCTTATTGATCATCCAATAAAACGGCTGATGCCTAACAACCATTATTACAGATAGTCACAATATCTTTTAGTCTCCTAACTGTATCCATATAGCTTCCATAACGTAAGCAATATTTTTGATATTTCTGCCATTGAATCATATGATGGCTTGGAATATTAAAGTATTGTTAGCCTATGGCAGGATTCCCATTATCACCTGAATTTATAAACCATTTTAGCACCATGGACAGCAACTTTAAGGAGCTCATGGCATTCAAATGCCTGAACGGAACTCTCTTTGCAGAAAGGGTGCCAGCTCCAGAGACCTAAATTGAGCCAGTGCAAACCTATAGCCTCTGTTTCTGGAACAGCTGTCTGCAGTTTGCCACCATTCTGCTGTTCGGCTTATTTTCTGAAATCAGTTCTAAGTAGTAAGTAGTAAAGTAGTAAAGCATGGCGGAAGTGGCGCGGAAAAAGCAAAACGATAGATGAAGTGGGTATAGATGAAGCGGTGCCGATTAAAGGGCGTTAACATTCTTTTATGTCATGATGCAGATTTGTCCTAACTAGTCGACTATGTCAGAAATGCTTTTGCAAGAACGGGGCTGATTCAAAACAGTAGATGGGGTTTTGAGCAAAATTACACCAACCAAGCTGAAAACAAGCTTGATAAAACATGTTTAAGTGTTCCCTATACCTCTTTAACTTTATTTTAAACAAACAAATCATTTAGAACTTTTGAGATTTGAAACTAACTAACTAACCAACATTTTAGGAAATCTGCTTACTGAGAGTTAGATGAGAAGCTTGATATTTCATGTCTGTCAGTACAATGCAGGACTACAGCCAACAGCTAGTTAGCTTAGCATAAAGCCTGGAATTTAAAATCCACCAGAAGTTCTAAAGCAGTGACCGATAAAAGTGACTGGGCGTCCCCGCTCCAGCCTAATAAATAGAACATATAGCCTTACCCCCGGTAAAACCGTGAATTGTTGGTTCACACTTGTTTTTGGAACGAGATTCCAAAAATGCTGCACCAATAATAAGTAACTCATTGTTTACTAAAAGGCTTAAGAATATCCAGACATAGATAGAATAATACAACTAAAGCACATATGTTCCAGCATGCTCTTCAGTAAGTCAGTGTAGCTACTAGACTGTGTGTACATTGTGTGGAAGTCAATGTGTAGACCAAAATTAAAGCCTACATGTAATACTTAAAAACCATAACGCGTGCGTAGATCTATAACATCGCAGATTAAATATACATTCACGACAGTATATACTACAGGTTAAGCAGAGCTTTTATAGTATGAAACCACAAGAACACAGTGCACTTTATCTCTGTGCACTGAAAGTGCGCTGTCAATAGGCTAAATGAAATTACACGTGTTTTTCAAGGCAGCCTATTGTATGGCATAAATTACTAATAAGTGCGCATGTTACGATAATGCTTGATCTCGGTGCACGAGGCTGGGGTTTATCTTTACCCGAGGTGGAGGGAACTAAGTCCCATGGGAACAACGTCACTCCCCTCGGCATATCAACCACAGCCCGCTGTATGCGCCTAGCAGAGCACCACAGAGGACGTCAGGATCGCATCCATCCTCAACGCGAAATGCTTTGCGAACAGAATATAACTCGAGCAATCCCCCCCCGATTCCGTGCGTTTCGGCGAAGAGGCATTCACATGCTCCGGCATACAAGCGGGCTGAAGAACTCCTCGGAGAAGTGGGAAGGCAAATTCTAGGTGGAGAGTGTCGAGCATGGTCTCTGGTAAAGAGAACGTCACAAAGAGCCAACATCTGTAACTTTGGGATTTACTTGTAAAGGCGCTTTTTACTGGAGATCGTGGGATATTCTTTTTGTAAACATGCCTGTCAGAAGAGGTCACGTTGCGCCACAAAACACATTCCTTGGAATGATTATTAGGAAATTCGAGGGAGAGAGTAAGTATCTTCTTAATTTACAATTAATACTACCTAATATACTTAAAAAATATTTTTTTTAACTAATTAACCTTACGGTAGAAATGATGAATGTAAACATGTTAGGCCATTTTGTGGAGAAATAATTATTCCCATTAAAAACATTTTATGGGAATAAAAATGTTTTTTATGGGGATAAAAGCATTTTTTTTTTTTGCCAGACTTTCTTTCATATGGAATGCAAACCAAAGACCTTGGCTGAATGTTGATCATCATCATTGCTTTTTTTTTCTATACAGTGGCAGTTAACTTAATCAACTTCATTGCTAATTGCTTTTATATTAGCTGACGCCATGTTGCTCTGAGGTCCGATTTACCACAGCAGTACTCATTGCATACTTTTTCTTTACATGCAGACCGGAAATTTGTGATAGCCAACGCCAGGGTGGAGAACTGTGCAATTATATACTGCAACGACGGTTTCTGTGAGATGACGGGCTTCTCGAGACCGGACATCATGCAGAAGCCATGCACCTGCGACTTCCTCCACGGCAACCTGACGGACAAGGAGGCCATAAGCCAGGTAGCCCAGGCTGTGTTTGGGTCCGAGGAGCGCAAGGTGGAGATCACCTACTACCGTAAGGATGGTGAGTAAGTAACCTGGTACGACAGTGTCGCTGTCGCAGTAAAGGGTCTTTTGTTACGTGTTGCTCCTGAGAAAGCACCTACTGCAGCTCCTCACTATGTCAATCACTCCCTGATGTGGCCTGTCAGCCTGTTACCAACCAGCCAGAGTCAGTTACAAGATGTGTTTCAGATTCAGACATTACCCCTGATAGAGGAAAAAGGGGTTGGCAGTTGGCTCTAAAATAACTCCTTGTGTAAATTTAAGCCAGAAGTATTTGGTGAAAGTAAACCGATACATATAGACTAACTTTAATCCTCCTCATACATCAGCAGGTTTATGCATACGGATTTAAAAATAATGACCTTGTAGAGCAAATAATCACCATATCATCCAAACAGAAAACAACATGTGTCGCATATAACATCCACCTTTAAACAACAACACATTAGAAAATGGTTGTGGTGGTGTGGTGTGAAAATGGCATGTTATTAGTGTTTGGTTATATGCATTACAGAAGAGGTGTATAATAGGCAAAAGCTCCATGTCCAAACGTGTAAAAACACAACGGTAGTATTATGGATATATCTTTTTGGCACCCGCCATGATTCACAGCATCATGTGCCTGGATGACAAAAAAAGGTCTGGCTGCCAAAATGATGGTGTGGATGTTTTGCATTGAACGTAGAAATAGCATGAAGCAGTAGGTGCAATGTCAAGTGATCCACAGCTTGTGTGCTTTGATGGACAGAGTGAGGGATGGTGGTAGTGAGACAAGGCTCTCCTGCTGTCCTGTAAAGTTCACGATGTTCTCTAAATTTATCAAAAATACATTGGCTTAACACCTTTCAAATTTAAACACATTCACAGTGTATTTGAGATCCATGACGCATTTAGCCATGTTGTGGTTTGCAGCAAAGTTGTACAGCAGCCTTAGTAGACAGCGGATCAATCCTCTAATCTGTAAATTGCTGTACATGTGGTAGACTACAGCATTGTCAGTTTTGCATAAAACATGCTTTCCTTTTAATGCTAGACCGGTATTTGTCATTCATTTTTGGCCATTCCTAGTGTCAGCATGAATGGTGCACTGATGAGATAGGAATCCTGAGTCAGAGAGTATTAATACGATGTTACCGCTCAGTGGCATAAATCCCAGGATCGAGCAGCTCCTGCCATGCTCTCACATGAGGTTTTTATGGTCAACCTGACATAGCTGTACAGAGTCAATTCAAAAGAACTCCTCCTATAGAGCATCACTTTATAGAGCTTTTTTAAATGTTCATTTTGTGCCAGCATTTGCACCAACACAGGCCAACATTTGTGTTTGTATGCGTGTTATTGTTAACTCATATTTTGTTCTCTGAGATAACTTCCAAGTCATATTGTATATGAGGAGTCTAAGCCAGAAAAAAAGAGATGTAATATTTTATTTAATCATAAGGAGCCAGGGCTTTCATTTTTAATTGTGAGTTTGATTAGATTCTAGGCCATGGATACATGTTTGATCTGCCATCAGCTGCCATGTACAACTCTTTGTTTGATGTGTTTTTTGTTTTTTTTTTTGCTAATCAGGAAGAAACCAAGAGCCAGCTGCTACACTGCTAAAATAGATTGTTTCAGAAACCTGCAAGACAATTGCACAAAACTCTCCAGGGTTTGTTTGTGAGGGCATGAGCAGCTTGGTTTTTGACAAGCAGGATTTTAAAGCAACTTAATTTAGTTTCCCATCTTACACGCATATGCTGTAGTCAATCGAAGCATCGTGTGCATGTAATGTTTAAATTGTGGCGGATGAGAGCTACAGAAACCTTCCGACATAATCTTTGCTCCGTCTCTTCACAATCCTCCCCGGTGTGCATCGCAGCTTTCAAGACACAACTCCTAATTCTCCTCAGAGGAATTTACAGTGAGCGTGTGTGCTCATGAATATAGATGTGAAGGCTGACATTGCAGTGACTGGAGATGAGCAGCTTACAGGGTAAATGCATTAAACTGGTATGGAGGGACACAATCCGCATGCTCCCACTGCTATGTGGGAATGAAAGATGCATGTCATCCTTGAGAGGGATGGCCATATTGATTCAAGTCGCTCTACAAATTGAAGCTGACGGGTCGAAAGTATTTCGTGTCTCCTCTCCTAACTGTATTTCAAGTTATCAGTCCTCATGCAAATCACTTAATCCCTTGTATTAAACCCCTTCCATTTTCCATGCACCTACTGTACGTCCCAAATCACACAGGCATGTTTAAAAATAGCGTTAAAAAAATCAGCTCAGATATATTCCCTGTTCTATTTCTCCCTGATTTTTCACACAGAGGATGCAGTCACTCTAAACACTCGCTGAATTATGATCTATAGACATGCCTAAATGCTTTAGTCTTTTGAGTAATTCCAAAAAGACATAGTGTAGTTTGTTTTTCCTCTTCCATCAATAACTACAGTGGGGAAAAAAAATAAGTTTGAGATTTGAGGAAGCCGTGTGACATCAGGAGCAACAAAGCTTTGTCTTTTTTCACTGAAAAGGCAAAAAGTTAAGCTGCTTACATGCTGAAACATTAAAAAGTAGTGGAACAATGGGGACCGTGGGAGCACAGCAAAGGCCTTCAGCATGAGGACAATTTAATTTTATGTTCCCCTCTATGTGAACAACCAAGTCGGGTTGTGAGAGAAGATACCACACACACAGTCCTCCTCCAGCGATGATACATAATCAATGAGATAAATGCTTTCACTTGATGGCTTTGTAAAGCTATCCAATACCAGAGGGTGTAATAATACTTTGTACCTGAATGAGTCTTAACAAAAGGAAGCTGACACCGTGCAGAGAGAAGTTAAATAGATAATTGCTATATAACAGTGGCAGCTTAGCTAACCGTGCTGAATGATCTGGGACATGTGGTTTGCGTGGGTGCAGGGTTTCATAGGTGACTCCCCACTGAGGGGACTGAAGGGCCGTGTACCCCTGCTGAGGGTTTAGTGGCAGGGGTGCCTACGGTGCACTAGGTGTGCTGCAGGACTCTTGGGTAACCACGTTTCAAAAGAACACATCCATTTTTCATCACGCTCAGCCCTCTTTGGTGTCTCGCAGTATGTGGTGAAACACATACAGAGCTTTCCTCATCATGTTTCATCTGGTAGATTGAAATCAGCTTGTCCAGCTAGATGTTGCAAATTAAAAAAAGCCCTGTGGGGATTTCCATCTTTGTGCAATGGAAAGTGTAGATAACATGCTATAATTTATACTAATTTTAAAGGGATGACATGGATACGGTGTTATTAGAGAGACATTTGCATATTTATTTTAATGGACGGTTTGCTGCCATTGCTTAATTACTTTTTAATTACGATGTGGAACAGGTTTAGCAAGGAGGAGCAGATGGAGCATTGAAGACCATATGAGTACAGGTCTAACTTTGCGTTGGACAGGAATGTTCATCCACGGCTATTTTTATCTCATGGGATGCTTGTACTGGAGGTGGTAATCTAATATTCCTCTCCATACCATCTGTGTTTTTCTTAATCAGTCACTGTATGCCAACTTAAATTTTATTTTAGCATCCATTGCATTCAATCTGCCAACATTTGCGCCATATTAAACTGAATAAAAGATCACAGAGCGATACATCATAAATTGATAAATGTAAACACAAATAAAATGTAGTTTGAGCCGGAGCTGCTAGTTATCCCTGATGGCTTTTGAGACACTGATTGAAGATGAAATTAGGCCTTGCTGTGTAGCTTACAGCACTCTTGCAGAGGCGAGATGTTGCCACGAGGCCCAAGGACTCTAAACAAAGGGTTAGCTTGAATGGCCTCTCCCTACATGCCCTAGTGCCGATTGGCTATGCCCCAGTAACGTTGCGTATTGGCTTAAGCAGAATAGCCCTAAACAAGAAACATGTCAGATTTCATTATACAAGACGTACTACCAGGCAGTAGTCTGCGGCTGTACTGTTTAAAAGCTCCAGTTGTGGATAATAGTTTGGTTGAAAGATGCAAAGACAAAAATCAGCGCTCAACAGTCATGTTTTTCCCTAGAGCAGATCAGCTGATGCAGATTAATATGAAACCTCAATACATGAATTGAATAACAGGGTTTAAAAATAGCTTCGCTTTTTGAAATAAGATTTAAAAAATGTATAGTGGTACTTGCACTTCTATATGAACAAAACCAGTACTACTGTACGTATTTATTTATCTTTAAGACCTCTAACAGTTTCACCACAACTCTGTTTGACCTGTGAGTCGTTATTGTGAGAATGTCCAAAGGATCACTTGATTAAGCAGCAATGTTTAAATAATTGATGATGGAAATAGAATCTACAGTAATGAAATTTCCATCATGAAAAGGGAGCTAGTCTTAATACACTGTCCATTCATTCAAGCAGGTGGTAATAACATTTCTTGGCTCACAGGGTAACACTCTACCTAAAGGTCAGGGAATTAATTTCACTCGCTCTACTGTACAATGATGTTAACCATGTCCAGCAGCTACGGCCAAGTTTGAAAGATATTATGTTGTCTTGTTGACTGATGTAGAAGATTAAGGTTGGATAGCCTGAAACCCAAATGTTCAGTAGTTTTCAGTAGCACACATACTGTACACTACAGCTCACATCTATATATTTAATGGGGTCAGAAGTTAATCTTGTCAAATGTAAAGGTTGAGAGAGGATTCCAAAGAGCTTGTTAGATGGTACAGTGGAGATAGAGTTAAAAGCACATGCACATGGACAAAACACTCCATCACCATCACCAATTGACAAGATATGTCACATTTAGGGAAATAGAGCGCTGCAAATAAATAAATCCAATTTAAAACAATTCACCAATTTGAAAAGACATAGACACATGTAGAAATGTCACACGTACAGAAGACAACAGAGTTACAACACAAAACAAAGTTTGATGTTGGATACAGCATGTTCAGGGCTTGACATAAAAAATTTTCATCAAAAAACACTGTGGCTGGTGGTTTTCCAAAGTTACTAGCAACTCAGCATTTATAGCCACAATTT